CTGTTTCAGTTTCCCTCTGTCGCCTCTTATGATACCCACGGGACGATATGGGGTAGTAGATATTCTTACACCGCTACTACTACATGCACCGCAATACTTGTAATATATATTAAACTAGCTCGCCAGGCAGACGTTGTTCTCCCTTTCCAACGACCCTTCCTATAAAAATCCTTATTCGCAATAAAAATTTTTGAGGGTGTAAATAAAACTAATTTTACGGATTTTATCGCGGGGGTCCCCCCGTGACCATGGGTGCTGTAAAGTGCTTGAAACGTCGGGAATGTAAAATAAGTTAATATACGCGATAAAATCCGTAAAATTTGTTTTATTTAAATGTGTAGTATTCACGTAAATATAAGAAATCATTATTTTGAGGGTCATTTATCGGGATAAAACTATCCTATCTCTCAAGTTGGACCAAAATGCACACAGTGTGCAAAATTTCATTGAAACCAGTTCAGTAGTTTAGGAGTCGCGAGTTTCATCTCGGATGAACAACGTGACACGTAATTTTTATATATAAAGAAGATAAACATTATTCCGTTCTATTATATTCTTTATTTCATATTATTATTTGTTGGTAAAGCCACAATCTATGGTAGAGTCGATAGAGTTGTATAGATCTATGACTTTACCAACTTATGTTGTTACACGGCGTAAAAAATTACCATTGTTAGTTATATGTGCGGATTTTTGTTACGATTATATAATTAAGTTTACAGAAATTATGTATATAGCAATGAGAATACCAGGTTGCTTTTAGTTTTTATGCTGCTGAAGTATGTAAAATAGAATAGAATAGTAATACATATTAAATTAATTTAGAATACAAACACTAGACGCGAAGCTTCAATGGGGCAGCTATATATCAAAACTAACAAACAGACTTATTTCTGCAGCATATACTGTAAAAAACATTAGAAATCTTACCAGTGTTGAAACAAAAAATACTATTTTACTTTGGCTATTTCCATAGCATAATGTCGTATCGCATTTTGTTATCGGGACAATGAACTTATATTCTGTTAAATCTATGAAGAGTAATGAAGAGAAAAGAGTAAAGAGTAGCTCAGACAAAAATTTAAGGCAATTAATATATTAACATTGGTCTCTAAATACATTTATGAAAATGTAATGGATACAAAAATAAAGTAGTTTTAAAAAATTAAGCGACATTCATTCTGTATATACTAGACACAAGCTAGTAGCTACCAGTTACTCGATTCCATCAAGTCAGTAATTCATTCTTGGTGCGATGTATACCCTTTTACAACAAAATTCCAGAAAATATGCAAAATTAACCTCCTCGAAGTTCAAAAACTTTATTAAACGAAGTTTGTATAAAAAGGGTTATTATAATATTAAGGAATTTATGGATGATCCCAGAGGTTATCTCTAGGAAAGAGGTGATCGCTACCAAGCTATTTCTAATTTGTTTTGTGTTGTTAATTGTGTAACATATAATATGATAGTACATAGTATACCTCATTTACAGGGGTTATAAAAACTAAAAGCCAACTTTAAATAACTAAAAATAATAAAATCATTTCATGAATCTTTAAAAGATTACTATAGTACGTGAGGGTAATATGGTCATGCGGTTGATATGGTCACTTTCTTAAAACTACAGCCTTGTTAGCATGGATAGCTTTTCATCAGTCAATCACATAATAAAGGGTCAAAATTGCGCTGCTTTATCGACACCATTTTTACATTTGACATTATAGTAAATATTTTAGTCGATTTAATTATTGTGTAGTGTAGTTAGTTTTTTTTCAAGTTGATGTTTTAAAGTGTTACTCATCATCCGCAAAACTTATTTTCTATTTTTTTTTAATATATTTGGTATGGTTTACGACTTTATATTTTGTCTCTGTTCTCCTCCTAGTTTTGTTTTCATAGGGCGGCAAAGTTTAAGGTGACCATATTACCCTCACGTACCTTATATATGTCGGTATATCGAAGTGTTGAAGTGCTTATACAGTAGGGCTACGATGGCTATCCGAGTACAGAACCAGAGTACGAAACCTATCCAATTGCAGAGAGGTGTAAGACAGGGTGACGTCATATCCCCGAAACTCTTCACTGCTGCATTGGAAGACGTTTTCAAGCTTCTGGACTGGAAAGGATACGGTATCAACATCAATGGCGAATACATCACTCACCTTCGATTTGCCGACGATATAATCCTTATGGCAGAATCGCTGGAGGACCAAAGCACTATGCTCAATGACCTCAATAGTGCTTCCCAACGGATAGGTCTTAAGATGAACATGGACAAAACAAAGATCATGTTTAATGTCCATGTCACACCTATGCCGGTAGTTGTTGGGAGCACTAAGCTCAAAGTTTTTGACGAGTATGTTTATCTGAGACAAATAGTCCGACTAGGTAAGTCCAACTTCGACCGAGAGTTTAATCGACGGATTCAACTCGGTTGGGCAGCGTTCGGGAAATTACGGCACATTTTCTAGTCAGGTTTACCTCAAAACTTGAAAACGAGACTGTACAACCAGTGCGTGTTGCCAGTGATGACCTATGGAACTGAGACGTGGTCCTTCACTGCTGGCCGGATGAGGAAGCTCAAGGTCGCTCAGCAAGCTATGGAGAGGGCTATGCTCGGAGTTTCTCTGCGTGATAAAATTAGAAATGAGGATATCCGCAGTAGAACCAGGGTGACCGACATAGCCCAACGGATTAGTAAGCTGAAGTGGCAATGGGCCGGCCATATAGCTGAGTGGCAGCCTCATACCGGCAGGCGAAGTGTAGGGCATCCCCCCACTAGATGGAGTGACGACCTGGTAAGATATGCAGGAAGTCGATGGATGCAGGTGGATCAGGACCGTGCTTTGTGGCATTACTTGGGGGAGGCCTATGTTCAGGGGTGGACTTGTGAAGGGCTGTAATGATGACCTTATATATTTATGCCACGTGCGGAGAAGTAACTAAAGAAAGTAAGTAGTATATCCACGACTGGTCTTCGCTGTTGGTGATAAGAGAGCTGGTTCTTTTATTGCCCAGAGGCTAAGTATAATATGTGTGAGCATTGAGGGACCAGCTGAGAAAAATTGTAGAACGAATTCTGGAATTTGTAAAAGAATATATTATAAAAAGTTACAGCCCTTAAAGTGTGGTCCCTCAGTTGACACAGTCCATCAACCAGATTTCTGAAAATATCTTAAAAAACGGCCAAGTGCGAGTCGAACTCGCGCATTAAGGGTTTCGTACAATCACTTGTACGAAACCCCCATTATTATTAATTTATTTTTATTTCATTATTTGTTGGTTTTCCATTACATGAAAATTCAACTGTCTACCTACCTATCATGGATCATGAGATACAGCCCGCTAACAGACAGACGGACGGACGGATGGACGGATAGCGGAGGCTTAGTAATAGGGTCCCATTGGTTACCCTTTGGGTACGGAACCAACCGGAATTTCTAAAGCTTATTTTACTAAGCAACAAGACAAAGTGTTAAAGATAAAAGCAACAAATATCTAAACTGTGGTCCCTCTATAAAATATATAAAATCTATGAAAAAAATTATGGCAAAAGTTTTTATATAGATTAGTGAAAATTTCTTAATTAAATTATTTATCTCGTACTTTTTCTAGTTAAGGTTTTGGTAGAAGTCTTAAAAGATTTTGTAAAAAAAGAAATAGAGCTAAATATTTTTTTATACATGGTAGAGCCATGCTGCAGCTATATTTCTGGTGTAGTTGTAACACGAATGGGTCGGCTCGACCGGGGAAGGACAACACTCTCACAGAATACCAGCGTAAAATAGCAGCTTAATGCTGCTGTGTTTCGTATGGTGAGTGTAGAGAACCGGAGACCCTTTTTACTGGAAACGAGGCATTCCATCTTAGTCCTCACGGGTGACAACGCATCTGCATTTTGATTCGTAATCGAGGATAAATGTAGATGTCTATGGGCCACAGCAACCACTTACCATCAGGTGGACTGTGTGCTCGTTTGTCACCCTTATCCTATATAAAAAAAAATATTTGCGCAGTCTTAAGATAGCTACTGTTAAAACTGATCCCTCATTCCTCACGTCACCAGACATAATATTATATCGTGTGATAACTGTGTGACGAAAGGAATATAAGAAGGTGTAAGTCTTCTTACCTTTTAGTAGAAGTTTTCTACAAAATAAATGAAAACTTTGAATGTATATTAATAACCTATTAACTAAGATAATCAAATTATATAAATTCTATGGCAATACACCGGGTAGTCCTTTGAAGTCAGCTTTTACTTTTATGAAAAATTAAATATTTCTTCATAAAATTAAAAGCTAAATAATGTCGCTAAGATTTTATTTCCTATTTTTAAACGTGGTAGAGCCATGCTGCAGCTATTATGGTTGTAGCACGAATGGGTCAGCTCGACCGGGGAAAGACCACGCTCTCACAGAATACCATCGCGAAATTTCGTATGGTGAGTGCAGAGAACCGGATACCCTTTTTATTGGAAACGAGGCATTCTATCATAGTCCTCACGGGTGACAATGCATCTGCATTTTGATTCGTAGTCGAAGATAGATGTAGATGTCTATGGGCCACAGCAACCACTTACCATCAGGTGGACTGTGTGCTAGTTTGTGACCCGATCCTATAAAATAATATATATAGTGGTAGTTAAATACAATAAATAGATAGACCAGGGACGAAATCAAAGGTGCAAGACTGGTGAAGTCTGGTGTTGCGTTCACCAATCTGCCTACCAAGCGTGCCGATTATAGCAACTTCTTCTGTTATGGGAGAGGCCTATGTTTTGAAGTGGACTTTTTACGAACTCATAGATAATAAACAAACATGATGAACTCAGTTCAAGTTGTTTTAGTTTTTTTATAATATGGTTTGAATGATTACGGAATGAAATAACACCTATATAAGTAAGGAAACGCCATATCTGGAAATGTGTTTCTATTAGCTAATTATACATATTACTAAAATATTTTACAGATTGTGAGTTCCTCGTTTTTCAAGAAATGGATAAACCATTAAGTGCCGATGATTTCTCTGCCATGGAGGGACAGTTGAGACAATGTCTCGAGGAGGACAGAAGGTACTCGCGCGTCAACGAAGTCAAATGTGACGCTATTCATACTGCGAAGACTTACGAAGAGTTTGCGTAAGTATACATTTAATGTAGAGCCCTGGTAGCTCATAAGCTGCATTTCAAGTGTAACTTACCTAAGTATTCAGCGGCGAAGGAAAAATCGTAAGGAAATGTTGCATGCATGTTTAAGAAATACATTTTTTCGAAGAAATGTGGAGTCGACCTACATACCTAGAACAGCGTGACGGAATAACTGCATCATTACCTTCTCAGATATGAAACGAAGCTTGTGCCATTATCATGACATCTCCTTAAGGCTCTATTTTCAACCTATGTACAGGCGAATAGACTTGTTTTTTTGATGGAACTAATATATTTTTCATTCCATTTATTTATTTCTAATCTTTAATGAATCCTCTATTAAAAAAAGAAAAACAAATGGCGGACTTAATGCCTCTAAGAATTTTTGCAAGCCAAAAAAAACAAAAACAAAAGATTAAGAAGAAAGATTCTACTAGTTCATTAGGCTATTATTTCATTATATAGTAAGTGTTTTTTTTTAATGTTATAGCGACCGTGTCGCTGCTGCTCACTTACGTCCTTTGGAAAAAGCAGACTACAAACACAAATGTTCGCGCGGCTGGAATAAATTTGCAACCAACGATTGAATTAGCAATTAAAAATCATTAATTTGTAGTTAAATAAAAGAACATCTATCTATTAACCTTGTTTTATTTGCCTTTGATTTCACTTGTCCAAAGGGAACCGTTTGACTGTGTTTTTTACGGTCAAAAATTATTAACTGTTCACAATATTTTTTTTGCAACGGTTCTTAGTAGATGTAAAACAATTTACAATATTGGAAACCTAAAGTAGTGTCAGAAATTAAGTCGTGCCTAAAGTTTATGTGAATGCATAAATATCAGGTCAGATGTTGGAGCCGACAGACAATAAACGGATGTTTTAGTCACGGATCGTTATATAATAACTATTAGCGATCTACCCTGGCTTCGCACGGGTGATTTCTAGATCTCGACGCCAGCGCCATCTACCGGATCCAATACTAAACCTAAACTATTCTCGAATCAATTTAATCACACACACAAAATTTCATCAAAATCAGTCCAGCCGTTTAGGAGGAGTTCAGTCTCATACACAAGGACAGAAGAAATAAATAAAGATAGTTACGGCACCGGAAATGTTCAGCAAAAACTTTTGATTCTTGTGACCTCAACAAAAGTATGATTGGTTAAACATTTTATAACTATAGTGTGTTAAAATTAAGTACAGGTAGCATATTTTACATATATTTACGGGTATAGGTATATTCACTATTAAATATTTAAAGATAAAAATGTTTACAGATCAAAATAAAAAAAATACAATATAGAGAAGTCTTCTGTCACACGTTTGTTAATTCGTCATTAGTCTGGGAACTGTTCCTAGATCTTGTGTGAATTGAATCAATCCATATAATCCAATCCGATTGGATTGGATTGTCCTTATATCCTTTTTTTAATTTTATTTACCTGTAAGTAAAAGGAGTATTTGAGACAAAAGTGTAAAGAATGTCCAAATAAACTTCATTTTCTACTAGCTGATCCGGCTGACTGCAATCATTCCGGTAGGTTTAACTGCGAATTCACTCCGGGCGCTTAAAAGTGTGAATATAACAATATGATTCAATAACTCAACTACAGAACCACCTATCGAGTCCAGATTTTGTAATTTTTATTTTTGACACTAAGCCAACATACTCGTATATTGTAAATGTGGTTTATAAATATAGAGAGTTTGTTAATAGTTTGATTAGATCACCACCTTTCAGATCCGGGCATAGCTATAAACCGTCGTCTCTACAAAACAAATGCATATTATAATTACGATATGTATTAAATGTTATATAGAAAGAAAGAAAGAAACAGATTTTATTTGGCACATGCAACACACTCAAGCGGATTACATAAACACATTACATTTAAGTAGTCATACAAACAAACAAAAAAAAACCACAAAAATTATACCTAGAAATCATGAAACAGGACATTCACTCCTTGTTTATAGATATGGTAAAATTAAAAAAAAACAAAAAAGCAAACAATAATATAAAAATAATAATAATAATAATAATAAAGAACTAGAGAATAAGGAGTAATGCATAAGGTGTATTACAAAGATAATCCACCCGTTAATGGTGCTCTGCTCCAAAAAGGAAAGCCACTCAGGATATGTTGGAATGTATCAGAAGTACAACACCCCAACCCTGATTTTCAGTGGCACCCTTATATATGTAAAATAAAAATACACAAATAAGTATAAAAAATATATACGTATAATATATATTCTTTAAGTGCAGCGGGCAGTTCTGTTGTGTTAAACCAAATAATTTCTTGTAATATTGTCACAATTCTTATAAAATATTCTTAATATTGTAAGAGGTTGCATTGAAATTCACTCAGGAACGTAATTAAGTTTAAGTTACAAGCAAATACACAAACCAGCTGCAGTACACCGCTTCAATACATAATTTCAATAAATAATATATACATACTCAAACATACACATATATACATATATATATGTATGTATATATTACACACACACACACACACACACACACACACACACACACACACACACACACACACACATATATATATATATATATATGTGTGTGTGTATGTATGTATTTATAAAATTACATCATCATCATCATCATTATCATTATTACAGCCTTTCATAAGTCCACTGCTGAAAATAGGCCTCCCCCAAGGAATGCCACAAAGCACGGTCTTGAGCCACCTGCATCCATCGACTTCCTGCATGTCTTACCAGGTCGTCACTCCATAAAATAAAATTACATACTATCAAAATATCTGCACTACTTAACTTTGAGATTGCTGATCTAAGAGGAACAATTTAAATTTTTGACGGAAGCTATGTATCGATTGCGTCAAAGATGTTTTATAGGTCCAGATACCGTGTTGCTAACACACCGCAACGTTCATAGTGAAGACAGTCTTTGATTCATGCATGCGTGAGTACCACGTGACGCGCATATCTTACGCACCATGGCTGCATTAATGTGCGTGACTTCGGTAATAACAGTGCGAATCGATTACCCAAAAAATGTGGGAGATTTTATATTTCATTCCTATTGACGTACCTATTGATTCTAAGAGTATAAAATGTGTGTGCGTGGCGTGTGCATTTGTGTGTGTGTGTATGGGGATATGGTTGCTTATGTGTGTTTTATGTAGGTACGAACATCGCACTAATATATTGAAGATATGTAATAAAACCTATAATTAATGTAACAGTTAAAATAAATAAAAAAGCACAGTAGATATTTATGTATGTAACATATATTTATAATCAAGAAAATTATTACGAAATAGAGCAGTTGAAGTTAAATTCACATACAATCATATATTCTCTCATCTATTTCTTCTATATATATTTTTGAGGCTACTAATATAATAAGTACTTAAGTTATTTTATTTAATATATATTATAATTAATTATTTGTATTATGTTTATATATTTAAACATTTAATATGTACTTATACATAAGTAAATATATATGTATGTATATATATATATATCTTATATGTTTATATATATATATATATATATAAAGGTAATCTAATATATCATTCTACCTGACTATCTCTCCTGATCTGTAAACTTATGACCACCTTCATTACATTGAATTGCTTATAATTTTGCTTATAATTTATCTATTAGATTGTTCTTTTTCCTTTTCTTCTAACAACAATACACCTACCATCAAACAATATAAGGGAAACCTGTTATTGGCCATACTTTTAGTTTGTTACATTAATGTTAATATTTTCTATATACGCTGTTGGTTTTCTAAATAAATAAATAAATAAATAAATAATCTATTATTACTAAATATATACAGAGTACTACACTGTTGTACTGTAGAACACAAAATATTGCCGATTTTTACGAAGACATTAAATTATTTTTCAATCCTAAGTAAAATGAAAAAAAGGAAGTTTGGTTAAGCGTAAACTTCAGCCAAGAGATAGCAAAATGTTTAATTTTTTTTAAATTGCTCCCTTCCGTTGCTGCGTGAAGGAAGGATAAAAACAAACAAAAAATCACACTTTCACATTTATAATATTATATTAGTATGAATTGTCAAGAATGATAGATAAACTTTTAAAACCGGTTTACAATCGGCTTTTTGAGGTTGGACCTATACCGGTTACTACTATAACGGTTCTGAGAGACCAAAAGGGATAGAAGCACAGGAAAATGCAATTTCATGCTGCCAGATGTAGTTCAACCCTAACCCTTAAAACGATTTAACTCTATAGGTTGGGTAAAATCTGTAAAATTAGACTGTTTAAAACCCCTATACAGATAACCTTTGTAGTTGATCATGACATTAAAAAATGGTAAAAACATTTCATAGACTAGGCAACACTCGAATATTATTGCGCAGTATTATTACTTGTATTGACATTTAGCTTTCGTATTCTTTTACAAAGAAATACAGCATAAAATTGTATAGTTACTTAATATGAAAAGTGATGTTCTTATCCTTATCTTTTTTCCAAGAGTAATTTTTAAATGATTTCACAGCACAAACAGTCATTTTGCGAAATTAAAAACACCGGTGCGTGACGTATGTTCACAGCGAACGTCGCTGGCGTAATGGCGGAACGATCGAACGAATACGCCAATATTGGCGCCTTTGAAATGGAAGTGTTTTAGGCGCGCGTACACGGTATCTGGACCTATAAAACATCTTTGGATTGCGTATTACGGAACGGCGGCGGCAAGTTGTTCCAACACTTGGTTGCTGCATATCGAAAACTGCCACGAAACGCAGCGGTGCGGTGTTGTGGTAGAAGCAACCCGTACGCCGAAGCTCTTGTCACTACATTTGTTAAGACGTTGTCTCGAGCCCAGCGCAATTTTTCATAGAGATAAGACGGTATCCTGTATTTGATACAACCAAACAACAGCGTAGCAAAATGCAACTGCCAGCGGTAATCCATTTTAAGCATATATATGTAACCTACGTTACAGAAAAAGTGTATTTGATTTGATTTGATATATTATTATATAGACATGACTACAATCGGTCAAGTTGTTCAAAAGTTACACGATAATTACAGACGCACCAACGTATTATATAAACATAGTAAAGGTACTATTTTTCATGTTAATAAATGCTGTTACTTCAGCCTTCTAAAGAGGTTGTGTATATTATATTAATGTAGGCTTTTCAAATATTTGATACAATTTATATTATTTCTTAAGCCGCGTCTCCACCAAAGTTTTGTTACCAACTGTTGTGCTGCCAACACGTGTTGGTAACAAATGTTTCTGTAATTACCTAGAGTTGGCAACAAATCTTGAAACAATGTCGGGAACCGTGTTTCCAGTTTCGGCGGCAACATCAAAGGAATACGCTTGTTGCAAACATTTGTTCCCTCGGTGGAGACGCTTGTTGGAAACATTTGTCGGCAACATCGGAAACAAATGTTGGTAACTTTTGTTGAGTTGTAAACAGTTGGAAACATAAATGTTGTCAACATTTTTGGTGGAGACGCGGCTTTAGAGCCAGTAGCCAGTGTTATCTAATGGGCTTGCTGTAAATTTCACAGTACGTGAGAAACCCGGGTTCGATCATCGCCGGCACCAATGAAATTGTTGAAATTGTTGTGATGAAAGAAAACATCGTGAGGAACCCTGCATGTCTGAGAAATAAGAAAAAAAAAATAGAATCAGATAAAACTTGTGGAAATCTATTATATTAAAGTTGGAAAAATATACTTTGCCTATATCCGCTCAATAAAATAAAATGATGTGTCTTACCTAGTTTAAAGAGCACCTTCCGCCCTCCCTCAATTGCGTACACTATCCCCGTCACCACTAATCCCAGCACCACTATTCCCACCACCACTACACTAGGAAAGACACACCACCGACGATAATACGACACGTGTTTCGCCTCTACACGAGGCATCCTCAGGTTCTCTCTACTAAACCGAAGGTGCTCTTAAAAATAGGTAAGACACATAATTTTATTTTATTGAGCAGATTATATATATATATATGCAAAGTAAATTTTCCAACTTTCAAAAAAATATTTCGAAAACATGTGAAGTTCGCCAACACGCATTGGGGCAGCGCTAGATGCGCGGCGGACTCTGTATTTATATGCAAGCTATGCTTATTTATACTCTATGGGCGGACATTTTCTTGCCCTAAAACCCTCTCAGAAATGAGAGGAGGCCTATGCCCAGCGGTAGGACATATATAGGCTAGACTATAGTAACTTTAACTTTTTTATATTATTTTTTAGTATTATAAAAAATACTGTACTGGGTAGCATCGTAAATAAACTAAGACTTACGCTATTTAGATCTTGTAAAGAATATACTTTTTGTGATGTATTACTTTCTTTTCTTATTGTTGGATACGTAAATAAACTAAGACTTACGCTATTTAGATCTTGTTAAGAATATACTTTTTGTGATGTATTACTTTCTTTTCTTATTGTTGGACACGTAAATAAACTAAGACTTACGCTATTTAGATCTTGTTAAGAATATACTTTTTGTGATGTATTACTTTCTTTTCTTATTGTTGGACACGTAAATAAACTAAGACTTACGCTATTTAGATCTTGTTAAGAATATACTTTTTGTGATGTATTACTTTCTTTTCTTATTGTTGGACACGTAAATAAACTAAGACTTACGCTATTTAGATCTTGTTAAGAATATACTTTTTGTGATGTATTACTTTCTTTTCTTATTGTTGGACACGTAAATAAACTAAGACTTACGCTATTTAGATCTTGTTAAGAATATACTTTTTGTGATGTATTACTTTCTTTTCTTATTGTTGGACACGTAAATAAACTAAGACTTACGCTATTTAGATCTTGTTAAGAATATACTTTTTGTGATGTATTACTTTCTTTTCTTATTGTTGGACACGTAAATAAACTAAGACTTACGCTATTTAGATCTTGTTAAAAATATACTTTTTGTGATGTATTACTTTCTTTTCTTATTGTTGGACACGTAAATAAACTAAGACTTACGCTATTTAGATCTTGTTAAAAATATACTTTTTGTGATGTATTACTTTCTTTTCTTATTGTTGGACATGAGGATGACTATTTCTACTTTAGTGTGTTCACTTTCTCTCCTCGGATGGTAAAAACGACGGTCATTGCGATCCATGGGGACTAGAGGGTCAGTGTACCAGCCGTATCTGCAAAGACGATAATAGATCACTTCATTTATGTACTCGTAAGAGAATGACTTAGGAGGTCCATATCCAGTCTAATTCACGTCTCATAACGCGAAACGTTTGAGGTAATGCGTTACTCCCGACAATTTAAGGTCAAGCAATTCTGTGGTCTCAAAATGCCTTTATCATAACAATATTGCATTCATACGATAATATGAGTGGCCGTATACCAAGAAAACACTTTAATTAATCCATAATATATTTTCTAAGAAATTATTTTAAATTGCTACTCGTACTTTAAAAAAAAACGTTTCGATGTAGTCACGATAATTAAATTTGACGTATCGAGACTGGGTTTTTTTTAGTTTAAAAATTACATCAACTGGTTCCCTATTTCATATCAATAGCCTAGTACGCGTAGTTTGTTAATAAAATGATTTCTTATTTTTTATAAACGTACCTTCTACCTAATAATTCCTAATGATTTTTTTAGCCTTGGTAGACAAGCGACAAATGTACAATACAGCCTATATCGATTTTATACTTTGTAATCGATTTACTTTGGTAATTTATATTTTTCATTAAAATTAAAAATCAAAATTAAACTCCTGGGGCGTGCACTTTTGGATTTTCCAAATTTTTTTCCAGTAGTTGGCTCAAGGTATATAGTTTCATGACTTCTCCCATTTCTTCTCCCTACACTAAAGTAAAGTATTTTTATACATTTATTGTGTAACTGTGCACATATTCCATATCCATATCAATCAGATATACCATCGTAAAATAGCAGCTTAATGCTGCTGTGTTTCATATGGTGAGTGTAGAGAACCGGAGACCCCTTTTACTGGAAAAGAGACATTCTATCTTAGTCCTCACGGGTGACAACGCATCTGCATCTTGAGTCTTTATTGAGGATAGATGTAGATGTCTATGGGCCACAGCAACCACTTACCATCAGGTTTACTGTGTGCTCGTTTGTCACCCTTATACTATATTTAAAAAAAAATCCACTGATGGTAATTGTACGTTTTAGGCTATAGAAGCTTATATATTTATCAAAATGCAGATGCGCTGTGACACTTGAGGACTAAGATGGAATGCCTCGTTTCCAGTGAAAAGGTTCTCCCGGTATTTTGTGAAAGCATGGTTCTTCCCCGGTCGAGACGACCCATTCGTGCTACAACTATACCCGTAATATACTCGTAGCTGCAGCATGGCTCTCACAACGTATAATCTTTGGAGACGATTACAAATCTATATACTTCTTTATTTTAAGTTGGGCGCAGGTGTCCTTTGGCTGTTGTAGACACTTAGGATCAGGTGGACTTTAACATTTTTACTAGAAACGAGGCATTCCATCTCAGTCCTCAGGGATGACAACACATTTGCATTTTGATTCTTAATTGAGGATAAATGTAAATGTCTATGGGTTACAGCATCCACTTACCATCACGTGGACTGTCTGTCCGCTTGTCAATTTATTCTATAAAAAAATTTGTCACAATTTTATTAGAAAAGAAAAAAACATTATGGTTTTTTTTTCTTGTACACACAAACGTCGCGTAGTGGGTGCGTAAAAGAATCCAGACAGATAGAGGGAAGCTGCAACATGCGATGAGCAGCTGAACTCGTCTACTGAGCATGACAACTATAAGGCAACCTATGGGGAAGCTTATGTCCAGCAGTAGACTTCTAATAGTCTGTAATAGTAAAATGAAAAAAAAAGAAGCAATTTATTGTTTTACATTTGGTTCTCGGTAGCCGGTGAGGGATATTTGCTATGTGGACCCTTTGCTCTCGATTTCGACACATTGCTATGATAGTTATCCACCTTCCGCGTCTCTTCTTCGGTCTCTGCCTTTAACTGATCATGGGCTGCGTAGAACTTTCCAGTTACCGGTGTTACTGTTTACAAATAAAAGAAACATTAGAAATACATATTAGAATTTTTACAAACTGAGGGACTTTGAAGTATTTTTTTATATCTATATATACTTAATTTTTACTTACTTATAACAAAAATACACTTTTTAAAATTTTTGTCTGTCCGTCTGTCTGTTTGTTCCGGCTGATCTCCGAAGCGGCTGGACCGATTTTGACGGGACTTTCACTGGCAGATAGCTGATATCATAAGGAGTAACTTAGGCTACTTTTATTTTAGAAAAATAATTAGGGTTCCTCGAAAAAAAATTTAAACCCTAAATTACACGCGGGTGAAGTCGCGGAGAACAGCTAGTTATTATATATTATATCGCTTCTTTTTGTAAGTTGTTATCAAGAAGAGATGGCTGCCCATTTTCTGTTTCAGTTTCTCTCTGTCATCTCTTACGGAACGGAACGGAACACGGGATGATATGGTGTAACATTTCTACAGTTATTTAAGATCTTGTAATAAAAATGATTCATGTCCCGAAACAAAATGTAAAATTTTATTATGAATAGACATAAGTGTGAAAACCACAAACCACAAACACAAATATTCCACTAGTATCCATCCAGACGTACCATTAGAATATAGGAAAGGTTTATGTAGGATATAAACCTTTCCTATGATCTAATGCTACGTCATTTGCCGTAATCACCATGCCTGTTAGGTCAATTGCCGATTAAAGTAACAGACGTTTTGTGCCTTTTGTGCTGCTTCCATTCCGGAGATTTTATCTCTAATATAAACTTGACCTAGTTATATAGCCATTTCTCGGAGGCGGATCCTACTGGTAATACATTTACTCACCTCTTACGACGCGCAGGGGATTAGGTGGGGGTAAGGCATTTTAGGATTAGTAAGCTGAAGTGGCAATGGGCCGGCCATATAGCTCGAAGAACCGACAACCGATGGGGAAGAAAGGTTATCGAGTGGCAGCCTCGTACCGGCAAGCGAAGTGTAGGGCGTCCACTAGATGGAGTGACGACCTGGTAAGATATGCAGGAAGTCGATGGATGCAGGTGGCTCAGGACCGTGCTTTGTGGCATTCTTTGGGGGAGGCCTATGTTCAGCAGTGGACTTGTGCAGGGCTGTAATGATGATGATGAAGGCATTTTTATGCTATCTATATAGTAATGCTTGAAAATATTAATATCTAATTAAAGGAAAATCTGCACACCGTAAACCTAGGTGGTAGGCCTCCTATATAGGAGTCCGACTGAGTAGGTAATACCCTCTAATCTATTTCTGCCGTCAAAAAGCAGTGCTTGCACTGCTGTTTTCGGGTCTTTACAAAGCGCAAGTTCGGCCTCACATGGAATACTGTTCTCATCTCTGTGCCAGGACACCCCAGTCCCAACTCCTTCCACTTCCAGCGCAGAGCGGTTCGAATCGTCGACGACCGAGTTTTTTCTGATCAGCTCGGTACAATGGCGCTGCGTAGGGATGTTATATCCCTTTGCATTTTCTATCGAATCTACCACGGGGAGTGCTCTGAGGAATTGTTCGGATTAATTCCAACCGCCAAATTTCACGAACGCTCATCGCGTCAAAGTTCACGATACCATCCTCACTATCTGGATGCTTGGCGGTCCACGACTGTGCCTTTTACTAATTTTCTTCCTCGTACATCTTCTCTGTGGAATTGTTCACCTTCAAGAAAAGAGCTTTCACCTTTCTATAAGGCCGGCAATGCATCTGCGATTCTCCTGGTGTTGCGGTTGTTTATGGGCGGCGGTAGTCACTTACCATCACGTGAGCCGCATGCTCGTTTGCCCCTCTTCTATAAAAAAAAAAATAGAGAGTCAGTGTAATTACAGTAATACTGTGTAGTGGCGATGTAAGAATATCCACTACCCCATATAGTCCCCTGGGTGTGGTAAGAGGCGTCAGAGGGAAATTGAAACAGGTGATGACCTCCCTAATAGCAACTTAAAATTATAAATAAGCCTGAAAATAATAAAAGCCTGGCAAGTGTGGCAACTATGGTAAAATCGCTCCTATAAAGCAATCTATGTGAGAGGCCTATGTTTAGCAGTGGATTTTTACAGGCTGTGATGGATAGATGGATAGTTACAGGCTGTAATGCATTCTATGTCAGTCCTTCGAGGTGACAACGCATCTGTAGCTTTCCTTGTTTGAAGCTGGCTGCAGGTGTCCATGGACTTGTAATCCCTGCGAGGGTGCTGGGGGCAGTAGGGACGCTGATGGTAAACACCGAGGGGTTTTGAACGGTAGGAGTCCGGCATAACCTTTCTGTTGCCCCCGCAGAAGAAGGTATTCATGAGGAGATTTCCCTACGATAAAAAAAGGTGTTCATAGACTAGTAGCCACTTACCCTGTCACATCGGTAATTACTGATACGTTATGTAATCTATGTGTTTACCTCTAAAATTGGGTCGATATATCTTGTAATTTCTAAAGTGCTTCACCTCTCTGTATATGATCTCATTCAACATGTGGATATCTATGGGCATTCGAACGCCAAATGTGCATTTTCCGCCTGGCAACATTGTAACCTGTGAAAACTTCTATATGTTATTTTTGATAGCATCATAAATTTCAACATACAGTAGGTAATCTTATTTGGGTCATGAATTTTATGCGACAAAGGACATGATGGACTATTGCTGGTTGACGGTAAACATTTTTCTAGACTTGCAACGAATATTCGGCTATTATTCGTTATTCGGCCTATACTTTTATCTTATTGAATTGAATACCGAATATCTAAGTAATATTTGGCCAAATACCGATTAATTTTATAGTTATTTTTTTTGTAACCATTAATGTAGTCATAGGTACATAATTAACTTCCATATTATAAAAAAATTAAAAGAACTATCAGATAAATGTCTATGCACTCGAATTATCGTAATTAAAGTGGAAGATAATGGTATAGAAAAGTCGTTTACTCTTTTTCTTTTCATAGACAATCCTAGCTTAAGAGAATGGACGTTCTGAAGAATAAATACTACTACCTTCCCGGCCGAATACTTTTGCCTAATATTCAGCTATTTGGCCAGGGAAGCCTGCAGATTATTCGGTATTCGGCGTGTGGCCGAATATACTATTCGTTGCAAGTCTTTATTTTTCAAATTAGTGATACATTATAATATGTGTGTAAAAAAACGTTTAAAAACTTATTAAGTTATTAAAAACCGATACTATGAAAATTTATCATTAATTAACTCGTGTATGTGTACTTTCCGCTATGTATAAACGGTTTGCCTAGTCACGTTTGGCAAACGTTGGCGATCGCAGTCTGTTTTTTCATAGGGTAGGGTGACAAACGAGCACACAGTCCACCTGCTGGTAAATGGTTGCTGTGGCCCATAGACATCTACATCTATCCTCGTTTGCGAATCAAAATGCAGATGCGTTGTCACCCGTGAGGACTAAGATGGAATGCCTCTTTTCCAGTAAAAAGGGTCTCCGGTTCTCTACGCTCACCATACGAAACACAGCAGTGTTAAGCTGCTATTTTACGCTGGTATTCTGTGAGAGCGTGGTCCTTCCCCGGTCGAGCCGACCCATTCGTGCTATAACTATACTACTAATATAGCTGCAGCATGGCTCTACCACGTGTAAGACGTCTAGACTTACCACGTCTACACTTCTCGCACCTTTGACGGAAATTCATAAATAAGTACGACTTTTTGAATTATGCCTGAAGTAGCATATTGGCGTATCCGTCCATCCACTACAGCCATCAAAAGTCCACTGCTTAACATGGGCTTCCCCCATAGATTGCCTCTTAGGAGGGATATTTGTCAAAGCTGCCAAGCTTCGCAGGCGGGTTGGCAACCACAGTGTTTTCTTTTTAGTTGTTATAAGGAAGACGCTGCTGCCCATTTCCTAGATATTGAGGATATTGTTACAGCACCACTACACGGGAAGGTGACGTGTTTGTGGGAGAATTTAATTCGAATACCAGTGTCTCTTCATTCTCTAAGCAACAAGTGGTAAAATTAATATTTTTGAACAACCGACTTCACCGACTTCAATATAATTAAAATGAGAACATCATCAATGTAGTCAAAGTCAATTCAATACGCATTATTAAGAATAACACCAAAATTATTGGTCAGATCTTCATCATTTGATGTACGAGTATATTATACAGTTGTACTTATAGAATATTATTAGTAATCTATGCCGCTAACGCTGCTTTTTGGTTGCGGGTCTGGGTATTTATTATATGTGTCGCATAAACGAGAGGGTTATTGGTTGTACCATCATTTATCAAAGGAATTGAGAACTTATTGGTATTTCTCAGTTCTCACAGTACACCATACGATACCCACGGGATTATATAGAATATTGAATTCTTTAACGCCGCAACCACACGGCAGATCACAACTAAATTTATAACAAAATTTCCATATGAATAGTTTAGACAAAATCAAAAAGTTAAGTAGATTAAGTTTGAAATATGTAGCTGAACTAAGTGATGCACATATGAGTATATGAGAGATGACTACATATTTGTGCCATTTGAGACTATTGGTCATTGGGGTGCTCGTTGCTGCTGGTGATAAGAAACAGAAACAGAAACTTTTTTATTCAATATAGATTATAAATAATACTTATTGAAAGTCACTCTTTTGTTTAATTACCACTGGTTCGAAAAAAAGCCTCTGTCCTGGGAACAACCAGCAAGAAACCCAGCGGGACTTTTTTAAAAAAATAACAGCTTACAATCATGTATGTTACACACACAATTAACCACACAAAACAAATTAGAAATAGCTTGGTAGCGATCACCCAATAATAACCCTTTTTACACAAACTTTGTTTAATAAGTTTTCGAACTTTGTATATTTTCTGGGATTTTGTTGTAAAAGCGTATACATCGCCCCAAGAATGAATTACTGACTACGTGGAGTCGAGTAACTGGTTCTATTAGCTTGTGTCTTTTCCTAGTATTTATAGAACTGAACTGAACTAAGAGGGCTGGTTCTTTTCTCGTTCAAATACTTAGTATAGCCATACAACAAAAAACTGCAGCCAGTATTATAATAATAATAATAATTCTTTATTATCAAAAATAAATCACAAGAAATTTTATGAAGTCTCTGACTCCTAAACTAGACGAGTCTGTATCTTAGGAATCAGCGGCCTCTCCCAGAGTTGTAACACAGGTAATACTAAAAGAACTATGCATGTTTTCATTGTTGAAACAAAAGAAAAGTAAACAACTTTACAAATTTAACAAATTTACAAAATTAAATCAAAAGATAATAAAAGTTGTAATATAATAAAGTATTCTATATGTGTTATATTTAATATTAAACATCTATACTATACATATATTTAATATACATATATACAAGACGAGCACACACATATATATATATATGTGTATATATACTTATACATAATTATTAAATATATACATATATTTATACATATATATATATATATATATGTATATATATATATATATATATATATATATATACACATACATACATGCACTGTTCTTTGCACTTTACCGCGGGGTGTAGGACTGTATGATAATTTAAGTTTTCAGTTTCAGTTTTTTTATCATGGTAATTAATATTGCATAATAGGTAAATGAATAAAGTTTTAAATCAGTTTTACCTGAGTGAATTGTCTTTATCGTGTTTATATAAAATTTATCTAAAACTACCTAAAATCATACATTTGATTACAATTTCGTAATGACATGTAAATTTCATGACAATTCATCTATTCATAGTAAATAGCAAAGAGTATCGTTTTAGTAAATAGTTAAAATAATAAAAGTCAAGAGTAAAAAGATAATTTTATATAAAAAAAGTATGTTTGTACTTATGTACGCACGTAGGAAGTTATACTACTTTAGCGTAACAATAAAAATAACAAAAAATAACTACCTTAAATATAGTTATCAGTTCCCACGAAAACTTGAGAGACAGTTACCCAATGAATTGAGGTGTCAGTGTGCGCTCGTATTGTAACAACTTCATGGTGTCGTTTTTAGCTGTCGGTGTGCGCGCTCATCGTAAAAAGTTCACTCTCATAATTTTTTTCAAACGCCCAAAAGAAGTATAACTTCAAAAAATCAATAACACTAAGTTACAATTACAATCTTTCATGCTTTATGTTTTTTTTTAATAGGATAAGAGTGACAAACGAGCACACAGTCCACCCGATGTTAAGTGGTTGCTGTGGCCCATAGACATCTACGTTTATCCTCGCTTACGAATCAAAATGCAGATGCGTTGTCACCTGTGAGGACTAAGATGGAATGCCTCGTTTCCAGTAAAACGGGTCTCCGGTTCTCTACACTCACCATACGAAACACAGCAGCAGTAAGCTGCTATTTGACGCTGGTATTCTGTGAGAGCGTGGTCCTTCCCCGGTCGAGCCGACCCATTCGTGTTACATCTATACCAGAAATATAGCTGCAGCGTGGCTCTACCACGTAAAAATTATGTCAATAATTATGTCATATTTGTTATAAAACAATCCCTTTAGATAGTTGCAATCTTTCTTCAAACACTTAATGCCAATTCTCTATCAGACTACTAGGTGGTCGGCAGCTCTTCATTCCTTGTTGTCGATATTCCATGCATTCGAACCAAACGGTTTGCTTCGTGATAACTCTAGGGCTTCGTCACCACTTAACACCAAGTGGAACACACGGGTAAAAATATGTTAGTCTGAATTTTTATTGTAATATATATTTTATTTGCGCCACATCTTTATGCTAATGAAACTATACTCAAAGTTTTCAAGTTCATTGCTTAAGGCAGGCAATCAACAGATGTAGACAGTAAATTTAATAGGTTTGTAACATTGTTAGTGGCTGAGATGGTCCATAAATTAATCTTAGATAGCGGTTAGATTACTACGGTTCTACAATTACATAAGCTTAGTTTACATAGTTTCAATGTTGTTTTGTTGTAATGACGAAAAATCTCTAAAGAAAGGAAGATTAGTTGTTTGTATAACGAATTCTTAAATTAATTTTACAAGAACGAACCCCTGGGTTACTAGATGGTTCTTCCTAGAATAGAACTTTTTTCTTAAACAGTGATAAAAGTAAAAAAACGACAGTCAATAATAATAATAAATAATAACAATAAGTTCTTTATTTCCAAAAGGTAGTACAACCAGATATTCGCTTAACACTTAATAAAGCAATTTTGGTACATATATTTTTGAAACAGCATCTGCAGCCGAACAAGGAGACCTGTGCATCAGCTGTCAGCGCCATATCCCCACCGTTAATTTACATAAATATTAGGATGCAAGCAAAAGTTAATTAATTAAATACTTATTATCTAAAGAGTTTGTACTTTATGCTAACATAACCTAGGTACAATGAAATTTAATGGATCACATATTATGCTTTATATGCTAAGTTATTACTTATACGAAGGCACAAACAAGAAAGTAATTTATACTAATGATGTCGTTCCTCTATCTTAAGATGTGTAATGTATGACTGTAAGAAGTATTAATAGTAGTAATACGTAATAATTTTATCATCTACTAGCTG